ACAAAAAGTTGTCTTTGAGAATGTCTAAATATATATCTAAACCCACAACTTAATAAAATTAAGTATTTATTTCTAAAAACAATTAGAGAATTTATAGGCCTTATACAGTATATAGAGCTATACAGGAATCTATGGGCTAAACCATGGAATTGCAGATGTTTTTCTCATTTTACTCCCACCAGATGGCACTAATCTGGCTTCAAAAATTGGATTTTAAAGGCAATACTGCATTAATTGAAAAGTAATATAAAAATACATTATTTTTTATTATTATTATTTTCAATGGTAAAAAATTTATCATAATTAGTGCATAAATATTCATTAGCATCATGAAATTATCTCAAAATACAAAAGGGGGGAAAAAAGTTTAATTTTAAGTGTCCGGTCACTTTTGACCGTGAAGATCACAAGTGTGACTCCCAAATGAGGAGCACCAGAGGGTTAAAAGAGTAACTCTTGAATAAACCCTACATCCTAAGCACTCTTAAGATTATTCATTACAGAGCCAAGAAAAGCACAACATATGAGCACATATTCTCAATGATATTGGTATTATACACTAAAGCTGCACAAATGAGCTGCCTAACAACACATTCTGTGAATCACAAAAACACACCATTGGGTACACAATCAACACTTTTGGGAAAGCTGCAAGGGAAGTCGCCACGACATATGATCAGAGACAGGAAGCTGCTACTGCTAAATCCACAGGAAGTAGATTCGATCTAACCCATGTGACTGACAGTCAATATCTCATACCTGGAATCACTGTCTCTCCTTTCAGATATTCCAAGATGGCTTAAATGATAAAAATAAAGTTAATATCTTAGAAGCATAGCAGGGTTTGTGATGGTGCCGCTATAATGGCTAGCACTGCAGTCAACAGAGATCCTTATATTTTTATGAACGTGTTCATATAAGTTTTAAAAATGTAAGTAATTCTGATGTATCTCTGGCTTTCAAGACTGATTACAGAGGACTCATTCTTGAGTTTTGAGTTATTTATAAATTGGTGTCTGTTTAAACATGCTCTAGATGGACACGGCATGTCAAGTCAATAATAGTTTAATTTTTAAGTATAATTTGTCGACATTATGTTTCAATAAAATAGAAATCAAATCTGACAAGGGTATCATAAACTTTGCTTATTAAGCACAGATGGCACAGAAAATGGGACATATATACAGTGCCCTCCACTAATATTGGCACTCTTGGTAAATATGCGCAACGGCGGCTGTAAAAAATAAAAAAATAAAAAATGAGTGCATTAGGACGATATAGACACACGTCATATTCCAGGCGGATTTCTAACATCTTTAGTTGATTAGAATCTCTTAATTATTGCCCTGATGGTGGAAATGGGGATTTTCAATGATTTAGGTATTTTCTTTGATGGATGATTAGGTGAATTTGGCTTTTATCTAACTCATATTTAAAATCCTGTGGAACAGGAAGTCATCATGGCTGAACAATTTCATGTTCCTAGTCACCCTGGTGTAATAAAAATGTAAATATGAATGGGAATATACTTCAGAGACATTTTACTCATAATAATTTCTAGGGGTGCCAATAATTGTGGCCAACATGCATTGGAGAAAACATTTATTTCATCATGAGATTTTCTCCCCATTTTCAATTGTTTTACTCCAATGATAGGTTAGAATTTTGTCAAATCTTCCCACATAGTGAGGTAGATATGTGGGGGCGTGTTCGAACGAGCCGTTTTAGGTAGGTGTGGCTAACTCTTAACTTTTATAAAGAATATCTCTTTGGATTTGAGACTTTAGTCTTTGCAACTTTACAGATCTTCTTTATGCACCAAGAGCTTGTAACACTCTAAAGAGAAAGGAAAAAATGAAATCGCATCATATGACCCCTTTAATGAAAGATCAAAAGGATAAACAATGCAGATTTATTTTCATAGCCGCCTTTGCTCATATTTACCAAGGGTGCCAATATTAGTGGAGGGGCACTGTATTTTACAGGTTGGTCCAACTAAGGCTCAAGCATGTTTTAGAGTAAACAAACAATCTATTTTAAATGCAAGATGGGACTTTCAAATATTCTGCCATCATACTGAGCATTTTGATGAATTCTACATAAGAATGCATCAGTTTTTTTTTTAGCAGAACAACAGCTACCACATCAAGTGTTAAGGTTTCCTCTCTTTGCGTGAATGGACTGTTTCTCTTTATACAATCTCATTGTATAAATGACTGGAGTTCATCCAGTCATTTCTTGTGAAAAACAAGTACACTTTATCATACTTTTAAAAAAAGTATTCATTACAGAATTAATATATTTTAAAATAACATAATTAATTATTAACTGAATGTAATGTTTAGAATAATGACTAACTGAAATTAAAATAAAAATAACTTTTGCAATGAACTTTTTAATTACACATTTGTAATAATGAAGTTGTGATTTATAGTACAATTAAAATATATTAACTTTAAATGTATGATTGAATAACGCACTATAGTTAAAATGATAATCAGCTAGTTAATTATATGTCTTTACAGCACACAAAAAAGATGATTAAAACAATGAGTTATTGTTAATTAACTTTAAAGTAAAATGTTTAATCTGACATTATTAAAAAATGCACTTAAGTACTAACATAGTCATGAAAGTGTACTCTATTTAGGCACACTTAAGTGGCCTTTTATTTCATTAATATATGTGACCCTGGAGCACAAAACCAGTCTTAAATCGCTGGGGTATATTTGTAGCAATAGCCAAAAAAACATTGTATGGGTCAAAATTACCGATTTTTCTTTTATGCCAAAAATCATTAGGATATTAAGTAAAGATCATGTTCCACGAAGATATTTTGTAAATGTCCTACTGTAAATATATCAAAACTTAATTTTTGATTAGTAATATGCATTACTAAGGACTTCAGTTGAGTTAGTTTGGGCAGGAGGAGGTTTGGGATGATAGTGTTAAAAGCCGAGCTGAAGTCCGCGAACAGGATCCTCACATAAGTCCCTGGTCTGTCTAGATGTTGCAGAACATAATGCAGTCCCATGTTTACTGCATCGTCCACAGACCTGTTTGCTCTGTAGGCAAACTGAAGAGGATCCAGCAAGGCTCCAGTGATGTCCTTCAGGTGGGCCAGCACCAGTTTTTCAAAAGACTTCATGACCACAGACGTTAGAGCCACAGGTCTGTAGTCATTAAGTCCAGTAATTTTGGGTTTCTTTGGGACGGGGATGATGGTGGAGCGTTTGAAGCATGAAGGGACTTCGCACAGCTCCAGTGATCTGTTGAAGATCTGTGTGAAGATGGGGGCCAGCTGGTCAGCACAGGATTTCAGACAGACTGGTGTAACACAGTCCTGGTGCTTTTTTCCTTTTCTGCTTCCGGAAGACCTGGCGCACCTCGTCTTCACTGATCTGAATTGCAGGTGTGGGGGAGAGGGGGGTTGCTGGAGGTGTGAATGGTGGTGTGGAGAGGTGTTCAGGGCGGGTGTGGGGGGTTTTTTCAAACCTGCAGTAGAACTCATTCAGATCGTCTGCCAGTTGTTGATTCACCACAGTGCTGGGGGATGGTGTCTTATAATTGGTGATTTCTTTTAGACTTTTCCACACTGATGCCGAGTCGCTGGAAGTGAACTGAGTCCTTATTTTTTCCGAATAATTCCTCTTTGCCACTCTGATCTCCTTTTCCAGTGTGTATTTAGCCTGTTTATACAAGACATTATCCCCCTTCCTGTGAGCAGCTTCTTTGGCCTGACGGAGCTGTCTGAGTTTTGCAGTGAACCATGGTTTGTCATTGTTGTAAGTTAAATGAGTCCTGGTAGGAATGCACATGTCTTCACAGAAACTGATATAAGATGTTACAGTCTCTGTGAGCTCGTCCAGATCGGTGGCAGCAGCTTCAAAAACACTCCAATCAGTGAGGTCAAAACAAGCTTGTAAATCCTGCTCTGCTTCATTAGTCCATCTTTTTACAGTCCTTAATACAGGTTTAGCTGATTTCAGTTTCTGCCTGTAGGTCGGTATAAGATGAACCAAACAGTGATCAGAGAGCCCCAAAGCTGCCCGTGGAACAGAGTGATATGCATTCTTTATTGTGGTGTAACAGTGATCCAATATATTACTGTCTCTGGTGGGACATGTGATGTGCTGTCTGTATTTTGGCAGTTCACGGGAGAGATTTGCTTTATTAAAGTCCCCGAGAATGATTAAAACAGAGTCCGGGTGTTGTTGTTCTGTGTCTGTGATCTGATCAGCGAGTTTCTGTAAAGCGGAGCTCACGTGTGCTTGCGGAGGAATGTACACACTTACGAGAATGAACGAACAAAACTCCCGCGGCGAGTAGAAAGGCTTACAGTTAATGAAGAGCACTTCTAGATCTGAACAGCACATCTTCTTTAACACAGTTACATCTGTACACCACCTCTCATTGATGTAAAAGCATGTCCCGCCGCCGCGCGATTTCCCCGTTGATTCTGCGTCGCGATCTGCTCTAAACAGCTGAAAGCCCGGCAGACTCAACGCGCTGTCCGGAATGGCGTCTTTCAGCCAGGTTTCCGTGAAACACAGAGCAGCAGAGTTTGAAAAATCCTTATTTGTCCGGGAGAGCAGAAGAAGTTCGTCCGTTTTGTTGGGTAGAGAGCGGAGATTTGCCAGATGGATGCTTGGCAACGGCGTTCTGAATCCGCGCTGTCTGAGCTTCACGAGCGCGCCGGCTCGCTTCCCCCGTCTGCGCGTCCTGAAGCGCTTGATCAGCGCCGCAGCTCCCCCGACAACAATGTCCAGCAAAACATCAGAATAATCAAAACCGGTGAAATATCGGGTGGTGTGTACTTCCGAATGTCCAGCAATTCGTCTCTGGTGAAACTGATTGCAGGGATATAACTAAAGACAGGACAAACTAACAAAAACATAAAAACAACTGCGGAGCACGCCACGGAGGCAGCCATCACCGTCGGCGCCATCTCACTACATTTGAGTGATTAATTTGAGTGATTGTCACTTTCCATAGAAGTGAATGTGCCAAGATAACGTGGGCGTGGTTTGTGAACCATGTTACCATGTGAAATCATGTTAAAATGGCACTTAAACTGTGTCGCATACATTAAAACAGGTATTGAGGAAACAACACAACTTAATAATTGCATCAACATTTATTAAGAACATTAAGAATGTACCAACGTCTTTTCATTACAGCTTTGCAGTCGCTTTTGACGAATCTGCTGGAATGGGACGTAAAATGGCTCACATGCACGCGCACATCCTCAGTTAACATGATCCCCAGCTGATCCATCACACCGGAATTACTAAAACAACTGATTAGAGTTTGTCCTAGGAAATTATTCGTGTCTATGACCGCTTATAATAACGCCGTGTTTCTCTTTGTTGTTGATGAAAATAATAAAATAATTCAACACTATATAAATTAATCAGCTGTTTTATAACAAAGAGAGCGCTCCAGGTTACAGTGTAATAACAAATGATCAAAGCAAACAAACGTGTAAACTACCTTCCACTGGGTGAGGTCGCTGCCATTTTCTTTACATTACGTCACTAGGGTCGGAGGTTTCACAGCTTGTAAAAAAAAAAAAAAAACTTGAGTTTCAGCTTGTTATTGTTTCTCTTCAGCTATGGGCACTTTTAGCCAGGATGATTTTAACACGCTCAAGTTTATTTAATCCGCCTACTAACTGTTCAAATACAAGTTTCTTGAAGCACAATAAAATCATAGTTTTTATTTTAAAGGAAAAAGATCAAATTAGACCAGAATTGGCACTTAAGCACCCAAGTGGCATGTTGTTATAGTGTTATTATTATTTTTAAATGTAATACTTATTGTAATTAGTGGGCTTATTATTTAACATTAGGCTATTATTATTATTTAATATTATTTAATATTTCCATGAATTAGATGTGCATTTCAAACATCTTCGCTAAATTGTCAAAATAACATTTTAAATATGATTTAGTATTTTACATTAATAACACTTGATAAAGTTAGGCTGCCTCAGGTGGGGGAACAACTTCCCCAGTAGGGGTCATCTTACCCCTCCTTTAATATTTAACATTTTGTGTAATAATAACTAAATTAGCATATTTATTTCCTATAAAGCATTGGCTGATGCATCATGATCCTGCACATGCTAAACTTATATCTAAATATGTTACACTTTGTACCTGTTACACTACTCTATTTACCTTGCTATTTAGCTAAAATATATGAGGGGTAAAGCTTCCGGGAGAATGGCGACTCCATCCCCAGACGGCCAGCTGGTTTGGAGACGTTTCGGAGCCGCTCAGGTAGACCTGTTTGCCTCTCCGGAGACCTCTCACTGCCAGTTGTTTTTCTCCCTGACCGAGGGAACACTCGGCACGGATGCGCTGGCACACAGCTGGCCGCGGGGCCTTCGCAAGTATGCGTTTCCCCCAGTGAGCCTTCTTGCACAGTTGCTGTGCAAGGTCAGGGAGGACGAGGAGCAGGTCCTGTTGGTGGCACCTTATTGGCCTACCCGGACCTGGTTCCCGGAACTAATGCTCCTCGCGACAGCCCCTCCTTGGCCGATTCCTCTGAGGAAGGATCTACTGACTCAGAGACGGGGCACCCTTTGGCACCCGCGTCCAGACCTCTGGAAACTTCATGTCTGGTCCCTGGACGGGACGCGGAGGTTCTAAGTGACCTACCTCAAGAGGTAGTTGACACCATCACTTCAGCGAGAGCACCGTCTACGAGACACGCCTACGCTTTGAAGTGGAACCTGTTCGTTGAGTGGTGTTCTTCTCGCCGAGAAGACCCCCGAATATGCCCGATCAGAGTCGTGCTGTCCTTTTTGCAGCAAGGGTTGGAGCGAAGGCTGTCTCCCTCCACCCTCAAAGTTTATGTCGCTGCAATCGCGGCTAACCAAATAGGCGACCCCGTAGAAGGGAGGTCGCTGGGGAAGCATGACCTGGTCGTCAGGTTCCTTAAGGGGGCGAGAAGGTTAAATCCTCCACGGCCGCCCTCTATACCCTCTTGGGACCTGACTCTAGTGCTCACGGCACTACAGCAGGGCCCATTTGAGCCTTTGCAGACGGTCGAGCTGAAATTTCTTTCGATGAAGACTTTGCTCCTGCTGGCATTGGCCTCCATCAAGAGGGTAGGGGACCTGCATGCATTTTCGGTCAACGATTCGTGCCTAGAGTTCGGGCCGGCTGATTCCCAGGTAACCCTGAGGCCCCGGCCCGGCTATGTGCCCAAGGTTCCCGCTACTCCCTTCAGGGATCAGGTGGTGAACCTCCAAGCGCTGCCCTCGGAGGAGGCAGACCCAGCCCTAGCTTTGCTCTGTCCCGTCCGAGCCTTAAGGGGCTACGTTGACCGGACGCAAAGCTTCAGGACCTCAGACCAGCTCTTTGTCTGTCACGGAGGCCGGCAGAAGGGGAATGCCGTCTCTAAGCAGAGGATGGGCCCACTGGATAGTGGATGCCATCACCCTGGCTTATCAGGCACAGGGTGTGCCCTGCCCGTTCAGGTTGCGAGCTCACTCAACTAGAAGTGTTGCATCCTCCTGGGCGCTGGCTCGTGGCGCCTCGCTGTCGGATATCTGTAGAGCTGCGGGCTGGGCGACCCCTAACACGTTCGCTAGATTCTATAGCCTTCGTGTGGAGCCGGTATCCTCCTGTGTTCTCACCTCAAACGGGTAGAAGCACTGAGAGGCCCCGACTTCGGGTCGGCTTGCTAAAACCACTCCAGAGAGTCCATATAGTAGACCCTGTTGAGTTCCTCCGTCCCCTCGGCAGCCAGACGTGGCGGAGTGTCCGGCGCCAGGCCTTCACTCGTTGAATCCTCGAGAACCGGTAGAAGGCTGGGTTCCATATGTAAGACCTAAGTGGATCCCATATGTGTAAAGTCCACGGTATAGCCTCGAGCCCGTGTTTCCCCGGCAGACTTCTGCCATTCCAAGAGGACCTCCAATCCCTCCAATCTTCCATATGCACCTAAGGAATGTTCATATGTGTATTTGCTTCCAAAACCTCGGTTGGAGCTTTGGAGCTTCCGTAACGTCCCTGTTCCAAGTAGAACGGGTAGCTTCCACGGGAGGGCAGTACCGGCAGTACCTGTGGCCCTTTGTGAGGATCCCAATTCGTCGGTCATCCGACGTGACGTCGAACTGAAAGGGCTGAAAGGGAACGTCTCGGTTACGTATGGTAACCCTCGTTCCCTGAAGGAGGGAACGGAGACGTCACGTCCCGTCGCCACAGCTCTGTACCACCGCTGAGCGGCTGGGTCACCGGCTCAGTTCCTCAGCGAAAACCTGAATATGCGCTGCATCTGCTGCCTACTTATACTCACGCTGTGATCAGCGGCAGCTGGATGCAATAATCGCATGCCAATGTGCATTGGCTCGTTTAGTTTACACTTGAAGTAGATTGGTCTCTCTAAGCGAGATCCCAATTCGTCGGTCATCCGACGTGACGTCGAGAGTGACCGACCGTCGGTCACGACGTGACGTCTCCGTTCCCTCCTTCAGGGAACGAGGGTTACCATACGTAACCGAGACGTTTTGTGGTCCAGGGTCACATATCTACAGTACAATTTGAAGTCCAGTTTTAAAATATAGTTTTACTACATTTAAGCGTACTTTTTTAACTTACTTGTTCTAGGTCACTAATATGGCTGGAAGTTTCATCTAATGTGAGTGTAAAAGGTTTTAATCTGTAGATCTGTCAAAGTTTTTAGTGAAAAAAAGTAGCCTTTAAATTGTAAAAGTTAGAAACACAGTTCAAATTAAAACTTGTGACACTTTAAACACTTTGTTTTTGTCACGTCGAACACATTGTATGACTCACAGAAAGCACTATAGCTGATATGTCTAACTACCTTGTTTTCTCGATAACGCCCATTTGTTGGTTGAGGTCGATTAGCTCCATCAGCTGCTTCTGCAGCGTCTTCTCTCGGCCCACAATCTGTTTGATGAAGACATGCTGAAGAAGGTCAAACACATTGGGCCTGAGCTCAAAATCCTTTATCAGACACCTGAAGGGCGCACAATCGAAAAATGGGAGAATTTGTGCTAAAATGTCCAAGATATCACATCAAATGGCAACTGATAAGGACCAGATTCAGGAAAAGCAAACAAGCTAAAGGTTGTTGAGATGAATTCAGTTACAAACAATGTTCTGGTGAAACAGCAGGAGGATAATTAGAGTATTACGAGGCATTATGAGAAGCTGAGGCATGGCTCTTTATGATAGTAATTAACTTACAAAATCAGTGTCAAAAAGAAAAACTAACAAAACTTTTAACAACCAGCAAACTTTGTATTTGCCAATGCTGTACTTATAATTACAAATACGTTTAACCTGCGTTACTCACTTGCATATGAAATCGTTAAAATCGTTTGACCAGAGCTCTGGTTGGTGTAGGGTGGGTGGAGGATTTCTGTATGGAGAAAAACAGATAAATAGACAAAGATAAGTATGAGAGAGCAATGAGGAGACAACCGCTCACAGCAAATTGATCCCATTTATTTCAAAGGAAAAAGGCACTCCTCACTTGATAAGATTATTAGATTACTGCCTAAAATTGTCTGTTGTTTAGATGAATCATTTCAAGCACAGACCATATAAAGTATGCAGAAAGAAAAATGTCTGTATACCAAAATGCATACCAGCATATGCTATAAAAGAGACTGTGGCAAGTTGTCACTTATGGAAGAACTGTAATTCAGTATTATATAGCTCCACCAGGTTTTAGCACTGCACTTGTTGTGTTCTGTCTTCTGTTTCTATTTCCACAATGTGAAGGTAAGGTTGTATGAATTTAATAATGAATCGCTCATTATAAAATTGTCCCAGTCAACTGACATTTGTAATGACATCCGTCTTGAACATTACAATGCTCACAATAACTTTCGTTAACTCTACAATCAGTAAATCCACTTCACCAGCTAATTACACTTCAACAGTGATGCTATAGATTTACTGGAAAAAAAAAAAAGTTCAAAGACAGAATTTTAAAGATGGCAGTGCGCTTGTTTCTCTGGACCATAAGTTGGTGTATAAGGTTTTTGGTTTAAAGGCCAAAATAATAATGAACAGGAATAATAATAATAATTATTATTATTATTATTATTATTATTATTATTATTAAGATGCTGCTTTTATTACATTATAAGCACTGAACAAAGAAATATATTACAAGAATGCTATTGTATTGTAAAGTTATTTTATTTTATTTTATTATTTAATGTAACAACTGTAATATATCAATATTTATCATTTATAGCTGCCTTATTTACTTTTTTTGATTTTCAAAGGTAAAAACTATAGAGGTTTTATTTTGGTGGAAAACATGCTCCTAATTTGACAAATGTATTGAGTCTATATGAATCATACAAATTTAATATTTTGGTTTTCTCTAGTGGTTATCAATGTTGGTTTCAGACAGCTAGCACACAAAAGAGTAGTTCATCTTTTGTACAACAAACAATTATTTTTCACAAATTTCAAGTTGAGGAATGTTGTCACAATATTATTGGATATTGTTTTTTTATTATTTTTTTATTTTATTTTATACAATCCAGTAATTACACTTTATGTTAGCCAATGGTATGACATTTTGTATGTGATGTTTTTGCTGTTTGATTATTTTAGTTTGTGCTTTTTTTAAATTTAGTTGGAAAGCCACTATAGCCCATAATACACTTTAAATAGATATATGTTATGAAATATGGCCTGTGTGTTACTTTAGGTACCATTTCATTTTATTATTATTTTTTATTCATATTAATATTATTATTAATATTATGTATTCTTCTTCAATCTTCTTCTTCTTCTTTTCCTTTCGGCTGTTCCCTTCAGGGGTCGCCACAGCGAATCATTTGCCTCCATCTAGCCCTATCCCCTTCTGCATCCTCTTCTCTCAGACCGACTACCTTCATGTCTTCCTTCACTACATCCCAACCTGGCCGCTCTAACTTTGTCTCCAAAACCTGTCACATGTGCTGTCCCTCTGATGTACTCATTCCTGATCCTATCCATCCTCGTCACTCCCAAAGAGAACCTCAACATCTTCAGCTCTGCTACCTCTAACTCTTCCTCCTGTCTTTTCCTCAGTGCAACTGTCTCCAAACCATACAACATCGCTGGTCTCACTACTGTCCTGTACACCTTTCCTTTCATTCTTGCTGGTACTCTTTTATCACACAACAAACCTGACACTTTTCTCCACCCATTCCAACCTGCCTGCACACGCTTCTTCACCTCTTTTCCACACTCCCCATTGCTCTGGACTGTTGACCCTAAGTACTTAAAATCCTGCACCTTCTTTATCTCTTCTCCCTGTAACCTCACTGTTCCACTTGGATCCCTCTCATTCACACACATGTATTCTGTCTTGCTGCGACTAACCTTCATTCCTCTTCTCTCCAGAGCAAACCTCCACCTCTCTAGCCTTTCCTCCACCTGCTCCCTGCTCTCACTACAGATCACAATGTCATCCGCAAACATCATAGTCCATGGAGATTCCTGTCTGACCTCATCTGTCAGCCTGTCCATCACCACCGCAAACAAGAAGGGGCTCAAAGCCGATCCTTGGTGCAGTCCCACCTTCACCGTGAACTCCTCTGTCTCACCTACCGCACACCTTACCACTGTCCTACTGCTCTCATACATATCCTGCACCACTCTAACATACTTCTCTGCCACTCCAGACCTCCTCATACAATACCACAGCTCTTCTCTTGGCACCCTGTCATACGCTTTCTCTAAGTCTACAAAGACACAATGCAGCTCTTTCCGACCCTCTCTGTACTTCTCCATCAACATTCTCAACGCAAATAACGCATCTGTAGTGCTCTTTCTTGGTATGAAACCATACTGCTGCTCACAAATGCTCACTTCTCCCCTTAGCCTTGCTTCCACTACTCTTTCCCACAACTTCATTGTATGGCTCATCAGCTTAATACCTCTGTAGTTCCCACAACTCTGCACATCTCCCTTGTTCTTAAAAATCGGCACCAGAGCACTTCTCCTCCATTCCTCAGGCATCCTCTCACTCTCTAAGACCTCGTTGAACAACCTAGTTAAAAACTCTACTGCCATCTCTCTCCATACCTCCCATACCTCCACTGGTATGTCATCAGGACCAACCGCCTTTCCTCTCTTCATCCTCTTCAAAACTTCACCCACTTCACCCTTGCTAATCCTTTCTACTTCCTGCTCAACAATATTTGCCTCTACTACTCTTCTCTCCCTGTCATTTTCCTCATTCATCAGTTCCTCAAAGTACTCCTTCCATCTTTCCCTCACCCTCCTGTCACCTGTCAACACATTTCCATCTCTATCTTTAATCACTCTAACTTGCTGCACATCCTTTCCATCTCTATCCCTCTGCCTCGCCAACCGATACTCACCTTCCTCACCTTCCTTACTATCTAACCTTGCATACAAGTCCTCATAAGCTTTCTGTTTGGCCTTTATCTTAACCTCCTTAACCTCACGCTGCATCTCCCTATATTCCTGTCTACTTTCCTCCGTCCTCTCACTGTCCCACTTCTTCCTAGCTAACCTCTTCCTCTGGATACTCTCCTGAACTTCCTCATTCCACCACCAAGTCTCCTTGTCTTCTTTCCTCCTTCCAGATGACACACCTAGCACCTTCCTACCTGTCTCCCTGATCACTTTGGCTATAGTAGTCCAGTCATCTGGAAGCACCTCCTGACCACCTAAAACTTGTCTCAACTCCTCCCTGAAAACCACACAACACTCTTCCTTTTCCAACTTCCACCACTTTGTCTTCTGCTCTGCCTTTGCTCTCTTCATCTTCCTCACCACCAGAGTCATCTTACACACCACCATCATATGCTGTCTAGCTACACTCTCTCCTACCACTACTTTGCAATCGCCAATCTCCATCAGATTACAGCGTCTACATAAGATATAATCCATCTGTGTGCTCCTGCCACCACTCTTATATGTCACCCTGTGTTCCTGCCTCTTCTGAAAGTACGTGTTCACCACAGCCATCTCCATACTTTTAGCAAAGTCTACCAACCTCTGTCCTTCTGGGTTCCTTTCCTGAAGACCAAACCTCCCCATCACTTCCTCATCCCCACTATTCCCTTCACCAACATGTCCATTAAAGTCTGCCCCTATCACCACTCTCTCACCTCTGGGAACACTCTGCATCACTTCCTCAAGCTCGCTCCAGAATCTGTCTTTCTCCTCTTGCTCACAACCTACTTGTGGAGCATAAGCACTAACAACATTCAACATCACACCTTCAATTTCCAGCTTCAGACTCATCAACCTATCTGACACTCTCTTTACCTCCAGAACATTCTTCACAAACTCCTCCTTCAGGATTACTCCTACTCCATTTCTCTTCCTGTCCACACCATGATAAAACAGTTTAAACCCTGCTCCAATGCTTCTAGCCTTGCTCCCTTTCCACCTGGTCTCCTGGACACACAGAATGTCGACTTTCCTCCTCTGCATCATATCTACCAGCTCCCTGCCTTTACCTGTCATCGTACCAACATTCAGAGTCCCTACTTTCAGTCCTAAACTCCTGCTTTTCATCTTCTCTCTCTGCCTACGGACACGCCTTCCTCCTTTTACACCTTCCTCCTCTCCTTCTTCGACCAACAGTAGTCTAATTTCCACCAGTGCCCTGTCGGACAACGGCACCGATGGCGGTCGTTGTTAACCCGGGCCCCGACCGATCCGGTATGGAAGTCATGTTCGTGATTCGCATAATGAATTTGGCAAAAGTTTTACGTCGGATGCCCTTCCTGACACAACCCTCTCTATTTATCTGGGCTTGGGACCGGCACAAAAGGTACACTGGCTTGTGACCTCCTGTGGCTAGATGTATTCTTCTTCAATCCATGCCTATAAACAGTCAGTTTCCATTTTTACAACTCATCTCAAATGGAGTGACAACATGCCCCACTGCAGGCTAAATGGGTAATAAAATGGTTTTCCTGGTGTAATGTCTTGATTACTTAATTTTAGGGAATTAATTTTTATTAATTCATTCAGGGTTTGAAAGGACTCGGATCTGAAAATTC